ATAGATAGATAGAGATAGATAGATAATATTCCTGATAGATAGATAGATAGATAGATAGATAATATTCCCTGATAGATAGATAGAGAGATAGATAGATAACGTTCTCTGATAAAGCCGAAATGCCAGATTATTCGATAATAGATAGATAATATTCCCTGATAGATAGATAGATAGATAGATAGATAGATAGATAGATAGAAAACATTCTCTGATAAAGCCGAAATGCCAGATTATTACCGATAATAGATAGATAATATTCCCTGATAGATAGATAGATAGATAGATAGATAGATAGATAGATAGATAGATAGAAAACATTCTATGATAATCTAAATGCCAGATTATTACTGATAATAGATAGATAATATTCCTGATAGATAGATAGATAGATAGATAGATATATAAATAGATAGATAGATAGATAGATACTCTGATACTCTTTGGAATAGGAGCGTATAAAATGGGAAGCGTCTGGTTAGCAGTAATTCGACTTTACTAACTAGACGCTTCCTCTGTGGCTAAATGGTATAGCACGTTAGGCTGTATGACTGTTCTGTGGAAGGAAACGGGTGTGGTTCCTTCCGGTGGATACATATTTTCTATGATATTTCTCAGATATTCAGGTCGGTAAATGTTGTTAATACTGCTTATCACAAACAGATCATTTACTTAAATATTTGTATCTCTAAAAATAACGTATAAATATATATATATATATATATATATATATATATATATATATATATGCGTGTGTCTGTAGACAAAAAGAGATAGAGATGAACTGACTTGAGCAGAGAGATTGTCATGCCTAAAAGACAAACAGATAAAGGAATGCAGGTTCAAATCCTGTTGGAAAGGGCATATTTTTCTCGAATATTCAAATTGGTAGACGAAAACTAACTAAATATACTGCTTAATAAATGAAGAGAGCTTTACTCAGACACGCGTATCCGCTAAAATAACGTTTACGTTATATATATATATATATATATATATATATATATATATATATATATAAAGGGCTTTTATATTATATACTTGCTCTGTCCTGAACAACATTGAGATTGTGTTCTACCCTGGATTCTGCCCTCTTGGAAATCACACACACACACACACACACACACACACACATATAAATATATATATATATATATATATATATATATATATATATATTTTAAAAAATTATAACATAAATATGTTATAAAATCACTACAAAAATAGCTATTTTGTTTTTGCCTCCGGTGTCTTATCAAGTGATGATGTTGAATAAAAAAAAAAAAAATGGTTTTAAAAGTTTCAAATTAATTAACGATCCTTCACAAGGGAAAAAAACGCTGTTACAAAAGCTAGAATGACCAATCAAAATACAAGTATAGGAAAATTCAAAAAGTTGACAACGACAATGTTATAATAGCTATTCAGATCTTTAAAATACGGGTAATATTAAAAAAAAGAATGTATTCTAAACAATAATTATTAAAGTATATGATAAAATTTGATATTCTAAAATCCAAATTTAATCACTATTAAGTTTAAAATTATAAAATTACTGAGGAGAAAAGGGGAAATACATATGTTATTCAATTTATTTTTTCGTTGAAATTACGTTAGAATATACGTTACTTCATCCGGTCTTCCGACAATATATATGTATACATTTTAATTCCAAGTGTGCGTAAACTCACGCGTAAAACAACACAATCTGATTATAATACATAAGCATCCAGGCATATTTATATATATATATATATATATATATACACACACAAAAAGTGACGATACAGGGAACATCTCCACGGCCCTTTATGAAAAAAAAAGGGAAACCAACACATACATACATACACAATAAAAAGTGAATGCACTTTGCATACACATAGACACTGATAAATACATGTAAACACATCCACAGACATTGACCTAGACAATCAGATACCACAACCAATAAATATTTAAGACTGTTGGTTATTGAATTCATTCCGTATACAATTATATATATATATATATATATATATATATATATATATATATATATATATATATATATATATATAAGCAAAATGTAAATGGATATAGATCCGACAGAATGAAGAAAATTTGGTAAAAACAAACAAAAATCCTTAAATGCAATTATGTTGTTTAAAATGAATGAAATGTCGACGTCTGACATAGCTTACGGTCAAATCACGCTGAAACACCGGTTCTTGTACGATCACCGAAGTTAAGCATCGTAGAGCCAGGTCAGTACTTAGATGGGGGACCGCTTGGGAACACCTGGTACTGGGAACACCTGGTACTGTAAGCCCCCCAAAGTCCAACCCTTACCTCACAGTCGGTGGGGGTGGGTGTAAAACGGTAGTGTCAGAGCTATGCCGCCCGGAACTTCGTTCCTGGTAGGGCCACCAAGGCGGACAGGTCTGACACACGCCGGCTAACAAGGGCTCTGGTGAAAATCCAGGAGCGTCTGCATCGGTAACCGGCGGCTTCTGGTCGTTTCCTGTCTCTGCGTCTGTGGAACCCGCGGCAAGCAAGAACGTTATCCGAGTAGGCCTGGGTACTTACTTCTGTAATTTATCCCAAGAATCTTCTTCTCATAACAGGATGAAGCCGGTTCAATCCGCCCAGGGTGAATGCCGCATCAGTACAGTACAGTAGTAGTCTGACGTTTCGGTTTAATAAACCTTTTTCAAGACAATATTCATTAAAATACAATTCAGTTCAATTTGACAAAGACGATGGACATAAACAACAAGTCTTATCCAAAACAGATAACTGAAATTTTTTAAAATGATCAGCTTTCCGTTTATATATATATACCAGTAATATTATCAATATATATATATGTGTGTGTGTGTTAGAATTTGTGTATGTGTGTGGGTGGGTTATAGTACCTACCAAAATGGGAATGAACTCTTCCTCCTACCATAAGTACCAACCTACAAGATTACGGAGGGACAGTCGACACGCAGTCTCTGACTGTGAGCGACTTCTGTCGAACTCTCTGCCTTGAGCAGTGAGGAACCCGGACGAAACTTTGTCCTTCAGCAAAGCTTCGTCCGGGTTCCTCACTGGAGGTAGACAGTCCCTGAACCCGTCTAGGCGGGTTCAAAGGGAATATTTTTTGGCCGAGCCTACGGGCCTGGAGAAACCCACGTTAAACTCGGCCTTGTGCCACATAGATTCCTGGGGGGCTGTTAAATATACGCAGTCTAACCTGAGAGTTTGGACGGACACTTCTATCTGGTGACTAATCACACTCTTACTTTGTATATATCTGTTATTTCAATACCTTTGTTTAACCTACCTTTTTCTTTCTGGTCTCTAACAGTCCACAACAATATATATATATATATATATATATACATATATTGTTATATATATATATATATATATATTGTTGTGGACTATTAGAGACCAGAAAAAAAAAGGTAGGTTAAACATTCGTTTGAAGATGAAATGGAACTAATGCTTTTAATTTAATTGCAAAAATTAAATTCGGGGTTTTAGCTTCTATTTTTGAAACATGGTTGAACTGTGTGCGAAAAAAAAAAACATATTTTAAATCAATTAATTTATAATATTAATGCTCTGTAAATTTACATTGAGCACTATTTTGTAAAAATAAAAATATCTATAAGAACACGGATTTTATATCTTACTGTTCTTTCTTTTTTATATATATATATATATATATATATATATATATATATATATATTATATATATATATATATGTGTGTGTGTGTGTGTGTGTGTGTGTGAAAAGTGTATATAAATATAAATAAATATATATGTATAATTATTTATATATTATATGCATATGGTACTTATTAGAAAGCGCTCAATATCAGAGATAGAGCTAACATATTTGGTTGGATACACCCCACATATGTTTATATATATATGAGTCCCGACGGACGACCAAGTATGTATATGTGTCTGCATATATCGATGTTTGCGTTAGTACCATGAATGACAAAACGACGAGTTTCCCCCCCACACTTCCACAATAACACCAATACACGCAATCTACATAAAACCCAATTTTTTAAAACATTAATGAGTTTGTCTGACGATCGCTAAAGCGTGAAACCCAGGGTCACAAACTCACATCTATCCAACCAAATTGCCAAAAGAATTAATACCCCGAGCAAAAGAAAAACAACAGGAAATCTACAGATTTTCTGCGGAGAAAAGGCAAGATGCCAGAAAACGGTCCTTTCAAATTTCTATTTTGAGGATTTACTATTATTTACATGATTTCAAATCGGACTAATATCTTAATCCTTTCTTGTTGCACTTTTGGCCGTTGTGCCCTCCGGCTTTATTTAAGTGTCTGTCCATCCGAGCAAGCTTTAAGTAATTTTGAACCGCTGCCTTTTATATAATCTGCCAATGTATACTGTCCTCTTTCTACAGTCTCTGTGTTAGGAGATCCGGCTTTTTTTTCTGTTTCGCTAACAATAACCAAGTAGTAATAAAAATAAAAGACCAAGATGACCCCTAGATCGTTTAAGAAGAATCTGCAATGTTATCGGTCATAATCTGGCATTTCGGCTTCTGTCACATTCCACTCGATGTAACATAGCTTCCCTGTGCCTCTTCTATAAATACTTTCATGGTAATTGTTCTGTTGGGCTTTCATCTTTGGTTCCTAGATATTACGAATTTAAGCGAAGTACTAGATTGTCGGCAAGGTCTCATCATTTGACAGTTGAAATGGTCAGATAACCGTAAGTTCTATGCTAACGGTTTCTTCTCTCGCACTTCCCGCTTGTGGAAATCTCTTCCGGCTTCTTGTTTTCGGGTCAACATTGATGTTGTTCTCTCTCCTTAACGATTTCTTGTTTTTCTCAATTTCTCTGACAATCATTAACCGCTTGCATCTTAGTGGCTTTATTGCCTTGTTTGGGGGTGAAATGATTCACAAAATGAACATGGAGCAAGAAACGAGAACAATCTACCCAATTAGATTAAAAGGATTTTTTTTACAAATATTTT